CCACCATTTAATAATTTGGCAAATAATTCGACTACAGATGTCCTTGTAGGTTAAACACCATCACTTTCTACTGTGTGTGTATTTTGACTCTGAAACTCGCGCATGCCCAAATAGACACTCCCACACCCTCCCACTTTAGTTCCTCCGACACTCCCCCCTAAACAGAGCTGGACACGCCCACTTTTCTGACTTTTTCCAAAGTAGAGGTGTGAAAACACCCTGCTGAAACAAGGAGGTTTCAAGGCCCTTTAATAATTAGAGCTCATTTACATAAACTGCATGGTTGATTTTAAAACCTATAAAAAGTCCATTTATAAACACACAGGCAGCTTTTTTTGCACAATGGTTTCAAGTTGCATTTTAAGTGTACAGCAGCTGATGCTCATTTATTTATAAATGAGATATAAAAACTTCAGGGTGGAGTTTGTTCATCTGGTCCTGTCGATCACAACACAAGGACATCAGGCATCCGTAAACGAACCTATATTTGACAGTTCTCACCCGACATGCATGAACATGTAGCTGAAGAACCTCCAGATCTGAGCGCGGTGTCCGGGATGATACACCAGCGGACTCTTCATGAAGTCCGGCTGGTAGGTTTGCAGCACCCATTTATTGAGCATCACGCCGTAGCACATGAACACCATGATCTGAAACACACAGACACAATTTTGACCCTCACATATGAAATAAAAGTCATCAACAAGCATCGGTGCTGTACCTGTACAATGGTGATGACGGCCATGAACACAGGCGGAGGGCAGAGTCTGTTCTGGTGGAAGTACCAGCGACGGTCCGTCTCGCATGGCAGAATCTCGTAGGCCACATAACGCACGAAGCGCTTGTACACGCCCAGCCCCGTCTCATCCAATAGGATCTCTCGCTGCAGAGTGCGACGCCCATTCGCAATGGCTCGGCGAAAACTACTGGAACGTTTACTGTTCAGCTGAAAACAAACAGAGAGAAACCTGACTGTAGAAACACGTTTATATAATGAATGTTGAATGAATTCCTTCATTTATTCATCTTCCTTTGGCTTACTTAGGGGTCGCCACAGCGGAATGAACCACCAACTATTCCAGCATATGTTTTACGCAGCGGATGCCCTTTCAGCTGCAACCCAGTACTGGGAAACAATCATGCACTACGGCAAGTTTAGTTTATTCAATTCATGTGTTTGGACTGTGGGGGAAACCGGAGCTCCCACAGCAACACGGGGAGAACATGCAAACTCCACACAGAAATGCCAACTGAACCAGCAACCTTCCTGCTGTGAGGCAACAGCGCTAACCACTGAGCCATCGTATTGCACTCTTATATGACATATTTGTATATATAGTTGAAGTCAGAATTATTAGCCCCCCTGAACTATTAGCCCCCCTGTTTATTATTACCCCAATTTCTGTTTAACGAAGAGAAGATTTCCTTAACACATTTCTAAACATAATAGTTTTAATAACTCATTTCTAATAACTGATTTATTTTATCTTTGCCATGATGACAGTAAATAATATTAGACTAGATATTTTTCAGGACGCTTCTATACAGCTTAAAGTGACATTTAAAGGCTTAACTGGGTTAATTAGGGTTATTAGGCAAGTTATTGTATAATGATGGTTTGTTCTGTAGACTATCAAAAAAATATATAGCTAAAAGGGGCTAATAATATTGTCCCTAAAATAGTGTTTTAAAAATTAAAAACTGTTTTTATTCTAGCTGAAATAAAACAAATCAGACTTTCTCCAGAAGAAAAAATATCATCAGACATACTGTAAAAATTTCCTTGCTCTGTTAAACATCATTTAGGAAATATTTAAAAAAGGAAAAAAATAAATAAATAAAAATCAAAGGGGGGGCTAATTATTCTGACTTTAACTGTATGTACTCCTGTACAGAGTAAAATAATATACACAATATTGCAAAAATGGATATTGCAATATTTAATTTTTCTGCAAAATATATTGTGATATGGATATAACTTCACATGACGGCTTATTTACTTTATGAGTAACTATTTGGAAAGAATTCAGAATTTTAATGGGGGTGAATATGCATGAAATATATTATAATGATATATTATAATAATATTTCCCAAACACATAGGGGAATTGAATAAGCTAATTTGACTAGTGTATGAGTGTGTGTGTGTGAATGTGAGTGTATGGGTGTTCCCCAGTACTGGGGAAGGGAATCCGCAGCATAAAACATATGCCGGAATAGTTGGCGGTTCATTCCGCTGTGGTGACCCCTGATAAATAAGGAACTAAGCTGAAGGAAATGAATGATACTTCACTATTTTGCATATATATTAGTAATATGGAATGATTACTTAGTTGATCTACTAAATATCGCATTATTCACTGAATTTAGCAGTAAATTACAATCAATTTTAGTGCATATATCTCAACATACACTCTTTAAACACACACAGTTGGAAATATGAAGCGATTAAACACTGACTTTCATCCAGATTACTGCAAAATACGCAGGATTTCTGGCACTCTCCTCTTCTTGTTCCCCGTTTCCTCAATCTCCCGCCTGCCCCAGATTCACACTTCACCCAAATCCCTTTACATTCGCTCCTTTTCTCCTGTACAACACCACTCGAAATCATTTGTCTTGAAATCCAAGCATCTGCACGCATTACTGTAGTGTGTGTGTCTGTGTGTGTCACATCTCTGAATGAGCTGCAGCACCAAAACTGTCAACACAGAGCCTCGCAGTCGAGTGTGTGTATGTGTGTGTGTGTGTTAAAAGAGCCTGCGGCAAAATTGATTCAACTGTCTGTGCCGGAGTGAAAACACTTACGCCTCCTCATATGGAGGAACGGGGTCCTGCGAGGAACACGGCTGGATTTGTAAGGGAAGCACGTGGAGCTTCAGAAATTACAGCGGTGAGACCTGAAGTCTATTATTGACTGAGCGGAAGAGCTTTTTCATTCATGAGCTCGCATTCATCTGCTCTCCGAAATAACAGCACAATCAAACGTGGCGCTCGCTGTTTGTTCATCAGGGGATTCGTACGGTGGCTTGAGCGCTAACACAATGCACAATGTGATAAATGGATCGCTGGTTAAATGATTTCCGATATTCAGAAATGCTCAGGGGTGAAAATATAATAGTTTAAGGGTGAGGAATAGAGATTTATTCTATATGAAAGTGTCGTAATTGTTGATTAAAGGATGTGTGAGGCTGAAATGATGGAGTATGTCACTCACAGTGCACAAAATATAGAAAAGCACATCTTTAGAGACCAAAAGCACTGCTGTTTTTCCAAGTTATTATAACACACTGTATGTCTTTCAAACGTGTTCAATATCTAAGTATATTAAAAAAGAAAAACTGAAGCTGAAAAATCTCAGAGCAACACTGCCATTTTGTTTCTGTTCGAATCAGTTGATTCGACTGTTTGACTTTGAATGAATCATTTGAGCGAACGATTCAATGAATCAATTTTCAAGTGTCGTATTTAATTTTCCATGACAGGTCTAAATCAGCCAAGATAAATGGTTAAATGAGTTTTGATACTCAACGTTTGATAGAAATGTGAAGATATACTAGTTTTAGGGTGAGAAATAGAGATTTATTCTCAATGAAAGTGTCGTAATTGATGATTAAAGGATGTGCGAGGCTGAAATGATGGATGTCGATGTATGTCACTGACAATGCATACACTAAGGGCCTACTCACACTATGCCATCCGTACCGTGCCCAGGCCCGTTTCCCGCATCATTTGAGAAGTGTGAGTGCGCTGAATCGGGCTCAAGCACGGTTCACTTGGCTGGCCATGGCCCGGTTGGTAGAGGTGTGCCTGGGCGCGGTTCACTTGGGCTTTGGGCCCGAAACTGAAAGCGAGACGTGACTTTCAAGGGACTGTTTCATATAGATTTATTAATCATTCTTACTGTTCAGTGAACGCAAACTGCCGTAGATTATTAAAGACGAGACCTCCTCACAGCACGACAGCTGCGCGGCTTCAGCAGACCTCCTCATTCCTGCAGCCCGAGGGCTTTATAATTGTTTATGAGCGCCAAAAGTGGCGGATCTGTTCGACAAAATATCTGACTGCGTGTCACCGCATCCCTAAGGACTGTTTGGCGAAATATTTGACTGCATGTCACTGCATATCAAACCGACTGACTAGAGAAATCTCCACCGTGCTGCTGAGTGAGAGAGCGCTTCTCACTGAACAGCGCAGCAGCGATGACGTAAGTGTGCCGAGGCCCATTTGTGGTGTGAGTGCGGGCCGTCGGGGGAAACAGGAGGGGGGGACAAGCGTGCTTTGGTCCGGTTCGAGGCAACTGTAGCTAGTGTGAGTACGGCCTAAAACACATCTTTACAAACCAAAAGCATCGCTGTTTTTTAAGTTATGAAAGTAAAATTATATATTTATTTATAACATATGTCCAAGCACGGGCGTAAATCCCGGGGGGGGGACATGTCCCCTCCCATCCGAGGGTTGTTTTGGCTTTAGGAATGAGTGCTTATGAAAATACTAATGTCACAATATTAATCACAGGCAAAGGAGAAAGAACTGATTGAGGAACAGGCAGAGCAGGGTCAGTCAGATGTACAGTGTCAGGTAAGGGTGTTTTAAAATGTTTTTGGAGTTGTGGCTGTTTAGCAGATGAACTTCACAGGCTCACCTATTTACAACATGATCGGTCAATTTAACAAGTGTAATGTAAACTAGTTATTATGAGTATGGAAAATGTCTTTTCCTGCATTTATTCTGCTTCAGGAGTCAGTCTGTTGACTGTAAACAACACAACAAACAATGCAATAAGTAGTTTTTAAGAAAAAATTGCTTTATCTTTGAACCTGATCAAAACTTTGAAAAACAATCCTAATGACGTATTCTCCATGCTATAATAATAATAATGATGAACCATTATTAACTGCGGGGACATATCTTTATTTGTACAATTCGGCTGTATTATTTGTGTCCCCTTCAAAAAAATGCTCGAAAAAATTTTTATATTTATTGTCCCCCCCTACTGTTTAATCAGATTTACGCCCATGTGTCCAAGTTTTCAAAAATGAATTGTTCCGGAAAGATTCAGTGTCCAAACGAACCATTTGATTCAGCTTTTTTTTGAATAACTGTTTTGGTTTGAATGATTCAATGAATATATAATTTTACTTTCATAACTTCAAAAACAGCAATGCTTTTGGTCTTCAAAGATGTGTTTTACTGTATGCATTGTCAGTGACAAACATTAACATCCATCATTTCAGCATTCACACATAATTTAATCATCAATTACGACCCTTCCATAGAGAATAAATCTCTATCCCGCACCCTAAAACTAATGTATTTTCACATTTCTGTCAAACGTTGAGTATCAGAAATCATTTAACCATTTACTTGGCAGGGAAAAATAAATACAACACTTGAAAGTTGATTCATTGAATCATTCGCTCAAATGATTCATTCAAAGTCAAACAGTTGAATCAACTGATTCGAACAGGAACAAAAATGGCAGTGTTGCTCTGAGATTTTTATAATTGTAATATTACATAAAACATACCTTTTTAAAGGTAAAATATTTAAACCGAAAACTGCTTTTTTAATATATATTTCACAATATTGATGGTTTTGCTGTATTTCTGATTTTAAAAATGCTGCCTTCCCTGCTGAAAAATCCAGCTTAAACCAGCCTAGGCTGGTTGGCTGGTTTTAGAGGGGTTTTGGCCTTTTCCAGGCTGGTTTCCAGCCATTTCCAGCCTGGTCTTAGCTGGTCAGGCTGGAAGATGACCAGTTAAAACCAGCTTGACCAGCCTAGCCAAAACCAGCTATGTCCAGCTTAAACCAGGCTGGTTAAGCTGGTTTTAGCTGGTCAGTTTCCAGGCTGACCAGCTAAGACCAGGCTGAAAATGGCTGGAAACCAGCCTGGAAATGGCCAAAACCCATCTAAAACCAGCCTGTTCGAACAGCTAAAACCAGCCAACCAGCCTAGGTTGGTTTAAGCTGGATTTTTCTGCAGGGTTGGTAAGCATAAAAGATTATTACTTTTTAAAAATCAATAATTTGCCAGTAATGTTGCTCAAAAACAATACTGAGCATTTGTGAATGTCTCCTTAGTGGCGTCTACATAAACTCAAACCATCGAAGATGTTTTTATGGACCGTATATTACTCCTCAAGTCCACTCTATTTCATAGCTACACTTGGGTAAATAAGGTACAAGCACTGAAATCTTGTAACACTTGACTAGTCAGAACACACACTAGACCTAATCAATAAGACGGTTCAATCTTTCATGCTCACTATCTTGTAAACCCAAGCGAATGTATAAAAGAGCAGGTTTTTTACGCATGCAACTCACCAGTTCTATGAGCTCCTGATAGCAGACGTGTCCGTGTTCGTTGCTCTGCACCAGCGCCAGCAGCATCTCCAGTTTACTGGGGTCCAGCTGTAACTCATGGTGCTCAGCTAGACTGGTGAAATTTTCCACTGTTATAAAACCAGTCTGCTCTGGGTCCAGCTGACCAGCAACACACAGGGAGAAGGAACCAGTGGTCAGTTCATATGCATGGATATTCACTAAATGTCCATCTATAAAACTGAACAAGCATGCACTGTAAAGAAAAATCATAATGTTGTTGCATCAAATGAACTTTTCTGGTCATCTAAACTTAAATCAGTGAAACTCAAAGTTATTTTGTTAAACTTTGACTAGCTACAAAACAATGGTTGAAACCTGATTAACTTATAAGAATTAAGTACAGTTACAAAAACATTGGTTGTCAATGACATTTTGTCAGTTGAAGTTTTTACAGTGTGCATAAAACATTGCATTTTCATTGGCACAGATGACAAAAAAATCATTCTTTCATTTTGCTTCTACCCTTTATTCCTCAGGGGTCACCACAGCGGAATGAACCGCTAACTTATCCAGCATATGTTTTACACAGCGGATGCCCTTTCAGCTGCAACCCAGTACTGTGAAACACCCATACACACTCATTCACACACACTAACACACAACAGCCAATTTAGTTTATTCAATACACCAATAGTGCATGTGTTTGGACTGTGGGAGAAACTGAAGCACAAGAAGGAAACCCAATGCAACATGCAAACCAAAAATTACAAAAATTAATACAATAATTAGTATTGTGATCATTTTAAATGCAGTAAATGGTAAATAATAATAATAATAATAATAATAATAATAATAAAAATTCCTTACATTTATATAGCACTATTCTGGCCACTCAAAGCACTTTACACATTGGGGAATCTCCTCATCCACCACCAGTGCGCAGCATCCACCTGGATGACGCGACAGCAGCAATATTGCGCCAGACCGCACACCACACACCAGCTGATTTGTGAAGAGGTGATGAAGCCAATTATGATATGGGGAGGGTTAGGAGGCCATGATGGTCTGAGACCAGAGGGCAAATTTGGCCATGATGCTGGGGTGAAACCCCTACTCTTTTTCAAAGGACATCCTGGGATTTTTACCAACCACAGAGATTTAACAGACCTCGGTTTAACGTCTCATCCGAAAGATGACACTTACTGAGCAGTATAGAGTCCCCTTCGCTATACTGGGGCGTTGGGCGCCCCTGCTGATTCTTTGTCTTCCATCTTGTTATAAAAACTGCCATGTTATTAAATATATAACATTTTGAGGCAGATAATAAAACTGTCAACTATGGTGTGACTGTCTCAAGTATAGTTCAATCAAGTACTCTTATGAAAAATGGAAAGAAAAATCATACAGATATTAATAAATGCCTCAGGCCTAATTTCACAAGTGGCTATATGTTTTATTAATTTAATAAATTTATTTCCGAAAACTTTCCCAGAGATGGGTTGCGGCTGGAAGGGCATCCGTTGCGTAAAAACCTGCTAGATAAGTTGGCGGTTCATTCCGCTGTGGCGACCCCGGATTAATAAAGGGACTAAGCCGACAAGAAAATGAATGAATGAATGATTTTCCCGAAAACGCAGAAATTATATTATGTCACAGAAAAACATGTCCTTTGATGTGACGCTATATGCTAATTTTAAATCAGGCAACTACACAGGAAAAAAATTATTAGTTGAAGGATCCCATCGAAGAACATGTGACTGAAGCCCCCTGTGAAGCCCATGACCTGCACATGTTAAGTTGTCTCACCTTTTTTCACATTTTAACATATTAACCCCTGTTTATTAAAATGTCCAACAAGTCATGGAGAAAATAAATACAGAGGGGAAAATAAGTATTGAACACGTCACCATTTTTCTCAGAAAACATATTTCTAAAGGTGCTGTTGACTTGAAATTTTCACTAGATGTTTATAGCAACCAAAGAAATGCAAATATGCAAAGAAAACAAATCTAATTAGTTTACAAATTAAGTTATGCATAATAAAATGAAATGATGCAGGGAAACGTATTAAACACATGAAGAAAGGGAACTGTAGAAAGGCAGTGAAAGTCCAGACAGCAGCTGAAATCTCTCAGTAGTTCTTCAGTATCTCTTTGCACTTCGTCACTGTAAATTAATATTGTTAACATCTACATTAGCAGATGATAAAGATGAAACCAGGGTGGACATTTCAGCAAGACAATGATCCAAAACACAGCCAAGGAAACTCTCGAATGCTTTCAGAGAAAGAAAATCAAGCTGTGGAATGGCCCAGCCGATCACCTGAACCGAATCCAATAGAAAATACAAAATAAAGATCATATTTGATAGACGAGACCCACAGAACCATCAAGATGTTTACACTCTGTTGAAGTCTGTGGAAAAACTAACACCTGAGCAATGCATGTGACTTCATTCTCCATATGAGAGGCGTCTTTAAGCTACCGTGACCCAAAAAGCCTTTTATAGAAAATATAATATAATTAATTTGGCTAGTTCAGCTCGTTCCCCTTGTGTCATTTCATTGTTATCACACAGAACTCATTTTTCAGATCTTTTTTTTTTCCCATGTTTGTATTGTTTGGATTTTTACCAAAAACATGACGTGTTCAATATTTATTTCCCCGCTGTTTGTTTTTCATAATTTCACTTAAATAAATATCACTATATGAAGACAAGAGTCCAAAAAAGACAACTCTAATGACTCCCAATGGATGAGGAAAAAACTTGTTTTGTTGTACAAAATAGATAAAACATTTACTGTAGATATCTTAACAGTGATTCAATCTGCCTGAGCAAGACAAATCCAGCTTTTAAATCACATGAGCTCTGTAGAATGAATACACACGCTGTTAGTTTGAGAAACTGTGGTAGTGACTCAAACAGAGTCATTCTGCACGATTCATAGGTCTGACACACACACACACACACACACACACGCACACGCACACACGCACACACACACACACACACACACACACACACACACACACACACACACACACACACACACAATTTAGTAAATATTTCACATTACCATGCGAGTTTGTGTGTCACTATCAGCCTGAAGCTTTTCCCTAACAGATCCAAGCAGCAAAGACAACCCAAGAGAACATATGGCTATTTTTACAGTCTGTGTTCACTCGGAACGCAAAACAGATAGACAGATGGAAGAAAGGAAAATGGGTGGAAATGCTAAAGGAAGAACAAACAGGATGAAAAGAAAAGAAAGGGTTAATAAAAGTACAGGAAAGGGGTGGAAGAAAATAGCTGAAGAGAAGAAAACAAAGACAGACGAAAGAAAGAAAGAATAATATGGGAAGAAATAAAAAGAAAAATCAGAGGGAAAATAAAGAAAAAGAAAAGAATATAATGTTGATGCGAGGATGCAACATAATGAGAAAAACTGGAAGAAAATAAGTGAAGGACAAAAGTAAGAAGAAAGGAAATGAAAAATGTGAGAAATGTAAATATAAGAAAGAAAGAAAAAAAAAGAAAGAAAGAAAGGAAGGAAGGAATGAAGGAAGGAAGAAAAATGAGAAGAAAGAATTGTAAACACTAAGGAAATGTTAAAGGAAAGTGACGAAAGAAGGAAGGAAGGAAGGAAGGAAGGAAGGAAGGAAGGAAGGAAGGAAGGAAGGAAGGAAGGAAGGAATGAAGCAAGGAAGGAAGGAAGGAAGGAAAACGAAAACAAAGAATTGTAAACACTAAGGAAATGTTAAAGGAAAGTGACAAAAGAAGGAAGGAAGGAAGGAAGGAAGGAAGGAAGGAAGGAAGGAAAGGATATGGGAAGAAATGTAAAAGGAAGGAAGGAATGGAAATGAGAAAAAATGTAAACACTACAAGGAAATGTGAAAGGAAGGAAGAAAGGAAGGGAGAGAAGGAAGAAGGGAAGGAAGGAAATAACAAAAATAAGAAAAAAATTGAAAATACTGTAAAAAAGAGGGGGGGGATGAAGAAAATTAAATCAGAGAAAATTAATATGAAAAACTATAAGGACATGTGAAATAAGGAAGGAAGGAGGAAAGGAAGGAAAGAAGGAAGGAAGGAAGGAAGGAAGGAAGGAAGGAAGGAAGGAAATGAGAATAAAGAAATGTAAACACTACAAGGAAATGTGAAAGGAAAGAAGGGATGAAAGAAGGAACAAAGTAGGAGAGGGTGAAAAGAAGGAGGGAAAGAAAATATGAAAGAAGAAATGCAAACACTACAAGGAAATGTAAAAAGAAAGAAGGTAGGAAGAAAGGAAGTAGGAGAAGGAGGAAAGAAGGAAAGAAAATGAGAAGGAAAAAATGTAAACACTACAAGGAAATGTGAAATTAAGAAAGGAACAAAAGAAGGAAGAAAGGTAATAGGGAGGGAGGAAGGGACCGAGTAAGGAAGGAAATAAAGAAAATTAGAGGAAAGAAATGTAAAACTGTAAAAAAAGTGAAAAAGAAGGAAGGAAATTAAATGAGGAAATTAATATAAAAACTGAGGAAATGTAAAATAAGGAAAAGGAAAGGAAAAATGAAATGAAAGAAATGTAAACAATGTAAAGGAAGGAAGGAAGGAAGAAGGGAAAGAAAGAAGAAAGGAATTAAGGAAATGAAAAGAAAGAAATGTAAACTTTGGTCAACTGCAAGAAAGGAAAGAAGGACAGAAGGAAGGAAAGGAAATGAGAAGAACGAAATGTAAAGAGTGCAAGCAAATGTGAAACAAAGGATGGAATGAAAGAAGGTAGTAAGGGAGGGAGGAAGAAATGAAGGAAGGAAATAAAGAAAATGAGGAATGTAAATACTGTAAAAATAGTGAAAAAGAAGGAAGGAAGGACATGAAATGAGAGAAAACTAAGATAAAATCTGTGAGAAAATGAGAAAAGACACAAAATAAGAAAGGACGGAAGGAAGGAATGAAGGAAGGAAGGAAGGAAGGAAAGGAAAGAAATGAGAAGAAAGGTAAGTTGGTAATGTAAACACTGAGTAAATTTGAAATGAAGAAGGAAGAAAAAGAAAACAAGAAAAGAAAGGGCAAATTAGAAAGAAAGAAAGAAAGAAAGAAAGAAAGAAAGAAAGAAAGAAAGAAAGAAAGAAAGAAAGAATGAAAGAAAGCTGACACAGTTGCGAGTGAATGTTGAGTTAGTC